GGTTTTGTACTGATGTGAACAACATGCTGTTAGTTGTCCATGATTTCAGGCTTTATGTAGAATTTTAGGATTTTCTAAACTGTGAGAAAGTTTTGACTCAAGTTTTATGTGACTGAAAATAAAGGGGATTAATATGAAGTAAAAATGTGATTTGAGGGATAATGAACCTAAACAGACAGCTGTTTGTTTCAGAGCGAGTTGGACTCAGTGTCTGCATGATGATCCGTCTGCAGGATAAAGGTAAGAACAATCATCAGCAGGAAGATGAAGAAGCTGCAGTCAGAGATGAGAGGTCTTCATCAAACATTTAACATCCAAACTGGAAGAAAAACACTGCAGCTCAAACTACAGCAAACATTTACTGGTGGCTTTGATCAATGTGGGATTATATTTAGGAAAGAGGGTTAAAAAGATTTTTAAATGCGACGGAGGAATAAAAGTCAAGAAGGAAGCAGTAATGAGCAAAGACAGTCTGAACATAATAATGTGATAAATATATGAAATTTTTATTACTGACTGAAACTATTAACCTTTAAGTGGCCTGAAGCAGGTTAGACTGTGATGACTGCTGTTAATTTTCAGTCAAACTGCATCAAGATGAAGGTGATCAGAGCAGCATCAGATAACATCATGTCTCTCTGATTACAGTCTGGTTTTTATCTGTCAATGTTTAAAAATATTTGTGACTTCTGTTGAGTGACAGAGCACCTGGATCGCGTTTTGAATTTCACAGCAATAAATAAATACATAGATGGATAAATTAGGGTTAGGGTTACCAAAACTACAGACACTAACCCTAAAAAATGAAACTATTTTATWTAAATCTTTGTAGGCAGTGAAACAAGATGCTGAGTGTGTGTTAGGTAGTTGGATGTGTGGTAGTTTGGTTGGATGATGGCTGGATGATGGTTGGATAATGGTTGGATGATGGCTGGATGATTATTGGATGATGGCTGGATGATTGTTGGATGATGGCTGGATGATTGTTGGATGATGGTTGGATTATGGCTGGATGATGGTTGGATGATGGCTGGATGATGGTTGGATGATGGCTGGATGATGGTTGGATGATGGTTGGATTATGGCTGGATGATGGTTGGATGATGGCTGGATGATGGTTGGATGATGGTTGGATGATGGCTGGATGATGGTTGGATGATGGCTGGATGATGGTTGGATGATGGTTGGATGATTGTTGGATGATGGTTGGATGATGGCTGGATGATTGTTGGATGATGGTTGGATNGCTGGATGATGATTGGATGATGGCTGGATGCTGGCTGGATGATGATTGGATGATGGCTGGATGCTTGCTGGATGATGATTGGATGATGGTTGGACGATGGTTTGATGATGGCTGGATGCTTGCTGGATGATGATTGGATGATGGCTGGGTGATGGTTGGTTGATGGTTGAATGATGGCTGGATGCTGGCTGGATGATGATTGGATGATGGCTGGATTATGGCTGGATGATGGTTGAATGATGGTTGGATGCTGGCTGGATGATGATTGGATGATGGCTGGATGCTGGCTGGATGATGATTGGATGATGGTTGAATGATGGTTGGATGATGGTTGTGTAGGGGTATTAAACGCTAAAATTCTAAAATGGATAATTTGTGAATTATTTAAAAACGCAAATTATCTTTTTCTTCGAGGCACCACTAAAGTTTTTTTTTATTGTAAAACTTCAGAAAAACAAAAACTTTTCTATTAATATTCAGTCTCTGAATATGAAGGCTTTTAATTCTTTCAGTTTAATGACGGCGTGAGACAAGGAAATACAGACYAAGACAAAATCACATTTGGAAATTCATCCGTGTATTATTTAAAATGAGGTTCAGAGGGAAATATATGCAGAACAAATCAATTCTCAGACAAAACACACTTTATAATCAGTTCCGTAAACTTGATCAAGAAGTGATGTAACTAATCTGGCATGATTACCATGTGAATGACTTTCTACACATACAGTATTTCAGTGAGACACTAACTCGCTATTCCTAAGCCTACCGCTAGAGGGAGCTCAGGGGAAGAAGAATGAACATTGATTATACTCTGATCTGATTTAAATCTTGGAATACACCATCAGATTACTTGAGCAAGATGTTTCCTACCGGCAAAGTTTGTAGACGCCAGAATGGATACTTCTATGCTAATTGGGCTGGCACGTGAAGTCCAACCGAGTCTTAGCTGTGCAGAAGTTTCCTGGTCATCTGGTTTGCCGGCTGCATTCACTGGAGATGTTGTCCAGCGCACCGTGGCGGCTGCGTTCCTTGCGAGCACACTGAGGTCGTCCGACTTAAATTAAATCAGCCTCATCATTTTCAATCAATGTAAATCTTCCTGAAAGCACCTTAAGATTAAACTATAAAAGGGAGAAAAAGTTGGAAAAGAATGGCCTCGCCCCAAGATGGGGGAAGCTGGAGCTAAAAAAAACTACTGCTCTCCTCAAACGCTTCTTCAGAACTCTCACATGGCAGAACAATGAATTACTCCCTGTTCACAACGGAACTTCTCATTGGTTAAAACTTTCTGCGGTGGTCACATGGCCCATCCAGACACGTAACAGAAGAACAGAGTAATAGTTAATCAAACCAGATCAAGTTACTTAAACAATGTCATGATTATTACAGTA